TGACGAAAATATTGTAGAAGACGGGAAATCTAAGGTCGGACGAGCCGATCGCCGAAATTTACGTTTTTTAGATGCTTACATCGAGGTGAACTGTGAAGCCGACGGCGATGCTGGGAAGTACAAATGCACAGTGTGCTGTAAGCTCTTCAAGACTAAACAAGGATGTAAAAACCATCTCCTAAATGGACATAACATTCGAGGTAGGAAATATTTACATCAATCCCTGGTTGTGAATGCCACGAATTGTCTGGAGAAAAAAAACGCTTACTACGATCGACGGCATTTGGTTTTGTTTCCCCAAGATGGCTGCCATGATCGATTTTTTTCCCGAAGGCTTATAATGTATTACTCGCATGTTGTGGTCCTTATAAAACAAAATAACCGTGTTATATTTGGGTTTCTATGATATACTTAGAAGTAGCTTTGAAATGATCTTAATAACATCGTTATGTATTTGCAGGAATTTATCTAAAAATGGCGTAAATCATTGTTGTTTTTTCACAGACCATGGTACTGCACCAGGGGATTCAAATACGGAAGTAAACAAAGCGAAGACAAAACCAAAGACAAAACTAAATACTAAAGGTCGGTATAATGTATATGCATTGTATTGCTATTTATACATTTATCATTTTTCATGACTACAGGAGAGCATATACCCTACTGTGTGATCTATGGGGAGGGAGTACTCCGGGTAGGAGATGACATAAAACTATAGACCCATTTGTAGGGTCTATGATGAAATTTTTTTTATTTTGTTTTATCACTTTATTTTTATTATACGATGTAAACATTTTTATTGCCTTTCCTAGATTAAAAGCTTGTTACATTTGTTTTCTCTTTAATCCTTGTTTAATTATATTTATTATTATTTATATGAGTGTTATTTATCTCTTATAGCTGCAAGACGAGAATTCTCGTACAATAAAGAAGATGCACTTTCTGGGGCAAAGGAGATATTGATTGCCGCTATGGATAAGTTGCTGGCAAAGGACTATATTAAAGTGGGAGTGTTTGTCGGTGCCATTGTCGTTCTGCAGGGTGTTATTTCAGCTCTACAAAACGGTGCAACAGAATATCCAGATATAATGCAGAATGCAATGATTTCTGTAATAGAAATCCTATGGCCAGCCATTGTAGCTGGCGATAAACTGCTCTTCAGCTGTTCACGCAGAGAAGCAATTTACAGAAAGTACCATGAAGTAAGACTCTCTGCTACATTGAAACGTGCATTATTAACATTGTGTGAACATGTAAACCAAAAGGCCAATAACTCTCAAAGAGCGTATCTTGTTAATGCAATTTTTGAAGAGATATTGTTACGACGGGAGAAAATTTATAAACATGACAACACCCCTGTGATGAAGATGGATATCATAGGGGGAAATGTTCTGAGATATGCATGTGG